AAAGGCTTGAAGTGAGTCAGAAACAATCCAGCCACAGGGCCTCTCCAGGGTACTCTTAAAAGTATTAAGTGTCATGCACACATATGTGCATTGCAGCACTATTCACAGTAGCAAAGACATGGAATCAACCCGAATGCCCATCAATGATAGACTGGGTAAAGAAAATGTGGCACATATACACCATCGGACACTATGCAGCCACAAAAAAGAATGAGATCACGCCCTGTGCAGGAACATGAATGGAGCTGGAGGCCATTATCCTTAGCAAATGAACTCAGGAACAGAAGACCAACTACCACATGTTCTAACTTACAAGTGGGAGATAAATGATGAGAACACATGGACACGGAGAAGGAAACAACACACACTGGGACCTTTCAGAGGGTAGAGGCAGAAGGAGGGAGGGGACCAGAAAAAATAACTAATGATTACTAGGCTTAATACCTAGGTGATGAAATACTCTGTACAACAGACCCTTAAGATGCAATTTTACCTGTGTAACAAACTTACCCGAACTTAAAATAAAAGTTAAAAAAAAAATTTTTAATACTAAATGTCCTAATCAGAGAACCATGAATGTATATACTGAGAGGCCACAGAGCACATGGGAGACTGATATGGTTTGGTGGTTCTGTGTCCCCACCCAAATCTCATCTTGTAGCTCCCATAATTCCCACATTAGCTCCCATAATTCCCATAGGGAGGGCCCTGGTGGGAGATGACTGAGTCACAGGGACAAGTCTTTCCCGTGCTGTTCTCATGACAGTGAATGGGTCTCAAGAGATCCGATGGTTTTAAAAACGGGAGTTCCCGTGCACAAGCTCTCTCTTTGCCTGCTGCCATCCACGTAAGATGTGACTTGCTCCTCCGTGCCTTCTGCCATGATCGTGAGGTCTCCCTAGCCACGTGGAACTGTAAGTCCAATTAAACCTCTTTCTTTTGTAAACTGCCCAGTCTCGGGTATGTCTTTATCAGCAGCATGAAAACAGACTAATACAGAGGCTGTTTCATGCTTTAGAGTCTACATCGCTATTGTGGGGTAGATGTGCTAATATGGGAAGGGAAATTAAAGTTTAAGACTAAATAACTTCATGAAAACCTCAACACAGCACGTAAACGATATTATGTAAGTTTTTAAAATATATAAAATGTTAAGCCAGGGGTTCTTCCTTGAATACAAGTTCAGGGAAGCTTGAACTTCCTCTTTGAATACAAGCTCTTTGTCCTCACAGACAACTACAAGGGAAAGCTGTTATTTCCAGGTCATCTTCACAGCACATACTCACCTAATTACATTTCTATAACTAGAACGAGTTGTTGTTCTAGTAAACGCTGTTTTCCAGTGTCAGGTGCAGCTTGAAAGCTGCTATGGATGAAAAACTCCTCCTTCAAAAGCTCAGTAACTGTCTCTGTGTAAATTAAGTCAGGTTCCTCTTTTTATCATATCATTTCAGTAAATAAGGCCAGTTGTGCTCATTCATCAACAGGAAACATAGAAAGGAACCAGAAAACAAGATGCAGCTCCCCAGGCCGGTCTTGGCCACGTGCTGGGTAAGGTAATACCATGGCTGTGGTTTGAGACCACCCCAACTTCAGTTCACTTGAATGGAGAATTTTATCATCTCAACTCGAAGGGACCTGTCAAATTAGTCCAGGGTGAGCTCAGACCCACTCTCTTGGAGTGGCAGCAGCCTTTGATGATAACAACACTGACCGCACAAACACTACACAGCAGCGTGCGACTCACACATCACAGAAACACTGCGGGAGCCACACTTTCAGGTCTAGAAGGAAATACTGTAGATTAAAGTCACCTTTTAAAGAAGTAAAAAATGAATAATTGAGATCATTTTAATACATTTTGGACTATGATTTAAGAAACGGCATGGGTAAATGAGAGTAAAAGCTCAGCAAGGTGAGGCTGGGAGTTCGAGACCAGCCTGACCAACATGGAGAAACCCCATCTCTACTAAAAAGACAAAAATTAGCCAAGCGTGGTGGTGGGCACCTGTAATCCCAGCTACTCGGGAGGCCGAGGCAGGAGAATCGCTTGAACCCAGGAGGCAGAGGTTGTGGTGAGCCAAGATTGCACCATTGCACTCCAGCCTGGGCAACAAGAGCGAAACTCCATCTCAAAAAAAATAAAAATAAAAAATAAAAAAAAGCTCAGCAAGGGAGAGAAAACTCAGACTCATTACATTACTTAATCAAAATTAATAAAACCTGTGGAGCAACTTAGCTCCAGCAACAGAAAGAACCGAATCATCCCTTTCATCAGTAACTGCTTATCTTCTTCATTTTAATTTTATGTTGACTTGCTTATTTATTTTTATTTATTAATGAATCTAGTTTCTTGTTACCCTGGACTTCCCATATTAACAATCTGAATAAACAACCTTATTCAACACGTATCTTTTTACCAAAAAGTGTCCTCTTAGACAAAGCAGACTCTGACACCACATTGCCTTGCCTTCACTTGATTTAGACTCCAAGTTCACAGTGCAATAAAGTACAAGGCAATTGAGAAATTTTAAAGCAAATGTGTTTTGGGTACAGCATTTTACAACCAAAATAGCTTTAAAATGGCATTTGTGAACAACTGAAGAGGCTAGAATGCCAACAAATATCTGAAAATGAGCATGACATTAAAATACAGTTTGACATGTTCAGTGAAAGAGAACTGGGGGTAAACGCACCATCATACATTTTGAATTTTTAGGTTTTTCTTTAAAAAAATGAGTATCTGACTTCTTCATGTGTTACAAACTCAGAAAAGCAGACAGTCTTGGGATATTAAAATAGATAAAGTGTTTTCAGGATGAGATGGAGACTGCCACAGAACTGTACACAAGCATCTCTCTAAACTTAAAGAAAACACTGATTCCGGGCTAAGACAGTGTTTACTGTGTAGATAAAGTCTACAGGATAAACTCGATTTATCCAAATCCTGTGCCTTCCAGCCAAGAAATTATAAAAGAAGACTTTGTAGAATGAAGCAAAAAGTCATACTTCCTTTCCTAAGGATTGCAACCTGTTCACAAGACAGGCAGAGCTGAACAGCTGGTCTCCTTCCAGGGCTCCAAGAAATGTGAATTCCAAGGACAAGGTAGCCCTGAAATGCCTCCCCATGGGAGCCTGCACTGTCAGTAGTAAGCATCTTCAAAGTGACTCTGGCAGGTTGGTCTCCTCAATCACAAGAGTTCAGACAGAACCCTGACACCAGCCACGTGTACCATGCGGTCATTCGAATGTGTAAGGAACTTGTTTTGAGAGGAGAGAAGAAAATTCTGTAGTAGGTGAGACCAGCCTCTCTCTCCTGCTCCTTCTCCCTTTCTTTTTCTCTCTCTCCTCCTTCTTCTCTCCCTCTCCCCCTCTTTCTCTCTCACACAGTTCCTACATTTCCGCACTGTGGGATAAACCAGGCTTCTGATCAAAGGCAATCTGAGACTTGGGTTCAAAAGCTTTGAGGAAGATTGGTACCTGCTACGCAGATGGGGAGAGGGAAGAAGAGACTAGCCTAGGGGCTTTTATATTTCTTTAACGCATCAGCCATTAATGGGCTAAGTTTACCACTGGGACCCAGAGAGCTAGTCCCCAAACACGAGCTCAAAATGTATGTATTTTCCAATCCATGGTTTTCAAGGACATGTTCCATTTCTATGAGGTTCTAATGAGATCTGAGAGATGTACATATTTTTTAAAGTCACATTTAAAATGGCTCTCACAGCACATCTGGGAGCAACTTAGTAACTTGTCTAAGTGCTTACATACTGAAGTTCCGACAACCGCCAGCTTCAGCCTTAGAATTGAAATCCACAGATCCAGTCTGCTTTTTTCAACTCTAATCTTGTAGACGGTTCATAGGTTTAAGACATTAAATAACCATGGATTATCATGACTCCAGAATCAGTTGGATTTGTGACAAAAATCAGCAAAATGATGAAATAAGTGTAAGGACCTTCTTCCCATCTCATTACGTTGGTTAGTTTTTGCCCCACATGGGATGGGTCAGGACTTAAGAGTCATCCGTTCAAGGATAGTTATTGAACTCACACCACTCCCTGGACAATGTCAAGAGAAGTGAGTGGTTCTCTCTGCAGGAAAGCCAAAGTATTAGGTTGGTGCAAAAGTAACTGCAGCATTGCCATTAAAAGCAATAACAAAAACAGCAATTTCTTTTGCACAACATATGGATCTTTTATTTAGGGAGAAAAAAGGTATTATTGATCAATATGGCTAGAAACAGACTGGACCTTTGTGGGTGTAAACCCAGAAGGGCCCTGGTGTTGAGGTGTTGGAAGAACACTGATGGATTCTTTATTTTTTTTTTTAACTACTTAAAACAACAGTTATTGATAGGGTACTGTTTAGAGATCACTACGATTCCTTTGCAGTTATTTGATATATAAACCTACTATAGGCTGGGTGCAGTGGCTCACGCCTGTAATCCCAGCACTTTGGGAGGCTGAGGCGGGTGGATCACCTGAGGTTGAGAGTCTGAGACCAGCCTGGCCAACACGATAGAACCCAGTCTCTACTAAAAATACAAAAATTAGCCAGGCGTGGTGGCGGGTTCCTGTAATCCCAGCTACTCAAGAGGCTGAGGCACAAGAATCACATGAATTCGGGAGGGAGAGGTTGTAGTGAGCTGAAATGGCGCCACTGCGCTCCAGCCTGGAGTAAGACTCTGCCTCAAAAACCAAATTCCCCAAACCCAACATACTACAAGTGAAAGGAATCTGCATTGTAAGGTTTGCTATGTGCCCCGGTCTGCCCACAGGAACCCTGAAAAACAAAATGTTAAATGGCACAGCCTTTGTAACTGCAAATGCTAGGTGCACTGACCTTCCTTAATACAACACTGTGATCACATGTATCATGGTATAGATCAAGCTTGTCCAACCCACAGCCCATGGACGCAAGCAGCCCAGGACGGCTCTGAATATGGCCCAATATAAATTCATAAACTTTCTTAAAACATTATGAGATTTTTTATGCGATTTTTTTTTTTTAGCTCATCAGCTATTGTTACTGTTAGTTTATTTTGTGTGTGGCCCAAGACAATTCTTCTTCTTCCAATGTGACCCAGGGAAGCCAAAAAACTGGACACTCCCGGTGTAGATGGTATGGCTCATTCTGCTCATCCTTCTCTGAGAAAGGGCATTTCAGAAGCTATTTCTCCTCATTCCAGATTTTATGCTGATTAAAGAAAACAAGATTTGCACACAGAGCATCCTCTAGTTATCTGGGTAACAGACAAAGCCATGAGAATGTTCCGCTCCGTAGGGACCATCAGTGCCAATGGCCTTCTCCACAGTGCATCGACCCCTTCCCCACAGCAAGCCTGGCCAGGGTCCAGCCAACCAGTGCTGACCTCCTTTGCTCGGGTAGGGCGCTGGGCCTTGCATACTATGGCACCTGACACGCTCCACTGCAGTTTTGTTCATCTCTCTCTGTCCAGTTAAACTGTAGAAATCCAGAGTGTAGAGACTGTGTCTTGAATTCATCTGTGTCTGGCACATGCAAAATACTCCTCAACGTCAGTTCCACACTCTTAGGATAAGAACATGCATTTTCAAGAGTTTTAATAACTACAGAGAGGTGGCAAGGTAAACAGTTTCCACGTGACCCCGTAGACTTCTCCATTAATCATAGTTTCCAATTCACTTTTTCGTTGTGCTACATAGATCTTCTTGTTCTATTCCTGATCATAATGTACAGTTTCAATAATGTGGTTTTTTTTATTGATGTTAACTATGCTCCTAGAAGCTGCATTGCAACAAAGTAATTTCAGAGAAAGGCAAACTGGATTCAGTTTTCAGATAATAAATATATATGTGCATAATTAAAACAGATTGATGTTTCCAGAAAGGAGCATAATGGAAGAAGGTGGTGCAGAAAGGCTGAGCCCTGTGCTATTAGTGATGAGTTTCACCTGAGATCTTTTTTAAAAAATAAAAATTTAATTTCTCTTTCTTCGAATTCTATGAGATCCCTTTCAGACAAATGCAACATTGGACTCGGGGATTACTTGGGAAAAGTTCCTTTAAGAACTCATGAAGAAAGCAAGGAGCTTAAACTTGAGGCATAGTATTTAGCTTAAGAATTGGAAAGACTCTTTGTTGTTGTTGTTGTTGTTGTTTTAAGTTCCAGGATACATGTGCAGAACACGCAGGTTTGTTCCACAGGTATACGTGTGCCATGGTGGTTTGCTGCAGCCACCAACCCATCTTCCAGGTTTTAAGCCCCGCATGCATTAGGTATTTCTCCTGATGCTATCCCTCCCCTTGTCCCCCACCCCTGACAGGCCCTGATAGATGGGGTGTGATGTTCCCCTCCCTGTGTCCATGTGTTCTCATTGTTCAACTCCCACTTATGCGTGAGAACATGTGGTGTGTGGTCTTCTGTTTTTGTGATAAGTTTGCTGAGAATGATGGTTTCCAGCTACATCCATGTCCCTGCAAAGGACATGATCTCATCCTTTTATACGGCTGCATAGTATTCCACTGTGTATATGTGCCACACTTTCTTTATCCAGTCTATCATTGATGGGTTTTTGGGTTGGTTCCAGGTCTTTGCTATTGTGAATAGTGCTGCAATAAACATATGTGTGCCTGTGTGAAAGGCTCTTTCAAACACGAGACTTGACATCTGGTAGAATGAATAATTAATTGTGTCCGGAGGTAGTTAAAAAGGGAGGGATGGAAGATGAGCTTCAACTCCAGTGCCAACCCCAACCGAGCACCATGACCGTCCCTGGGTCCCGGTGCATAATGTCCACCATGAGTTACAGGCTTTGGAGGTAGCACCAGCATCTCTAGGGCAGCCAGTTATTTCTCTAGAATGGTGGAGAACAATAGCACCAGGAACTGAAAGGAACCTGCAGGACAACACAGCAGGTGAACAGAAAGCCTTGCCCGAATCTCCCCACCAGAGGTGGGCTCGGACTGGGTCTCGGACTCGGGACGCTTCTTTCTGCCATGCGCCTGGTGGCAGTAGGATCTAGACAGGGGTATCCAAATGAAGTGTCAGGTCTCCTTTAGTCCTGTGGTTTGACATGTTTAGTTCAATGGTTTCACACTGAACACTGACCAAATGGGTATTTTCATGTTTAGAAGGCGAATGAACATGTTCTGTGAGTTTTCGTAAAGTTCTGCTTAAAACGTTTCCCAGGAGAAGGCCCCTCTGGGACCCCGCATGTACAGAGCTACAAAGGGAATTCCCTAAAACAACAGACAAACCTCCAGGGCCTCCACGGTGCTGCACACATGTTCTTAAGTGTCTCTGAAGCAGCCAATGACAAGTAAAGCAAATCACAGTAAGGGAACCACAGAAGCAAGGTAAGGAAAGGGAACATCCCACAAAACCTCTAACTACAGGAGCAGGGTAAGGAAAGGGAATATCCCACAAAACCTCTAACTACAATGAGAAAATCACCCAGAGGGAAGAACCCCGCCCCCTCAGAAGCCACTGGGAAGGGGCACTTCCACCCAAGCTCAGCCCCTCATTCACAACCCCCTGAGCAGGAGGGCCGTCTTCCATTAATGCCTCTGTCGGGGAGAAGAATGGGTGCACACAGCTCAGCTAAGTCCTTCTGGATCTTCTCAAGGAGACAGTGAATCTATGCTGCTCTCCTGCCATGCAGAAAACGCAGCTAGCAGGGCCTGCCCTCAGGAGAAGCTGTGGCTGCAGAGCATCACCTGAGACCAGTGGGACTGCGATGTTTAATTCCAGGGAGAAGAAACACAGTCTGAAGGCCACCTTCTCTGGTCTGCTTTGTCAGCTGGGACACTGACCTACATTTGACTGTCATTTATGCCTTATTTCTCAACTAGTTTTGAATTCAGGGGGGAAAGAAAAGATGTGTGTTTATAAGCCTCCTAAAATCCCGGCACATTCATGTCTGAACATGGGAGGTCATCTAATGTTTAGCATTAGCACAGTGATGGCAAATGTCTACTGCCTTCTCTTGCACATGTGGCATTCTCCAGAACCATGAAGACCCATCGGAATCCCTGTCAACATGGTATTCACGGCAGGGCAGTTGCCTGGTGGCCACCACTGCAACATGAAATATCACCTATGTGTTATGGCCGAGCTCTGCCTATGGGACAATGGACATGTTACTTTCAGAAGAACCCCTTCTTACTGCACTTAGCCAAACAATTTACCTATAGAAATTATTCTCATTCAGCCATTCTACAAATATTTCATGAGCACTTTATAACTCCTGGAGCTGGCATTTTCTTTCAGGATCTTCTCTGAAATAACAAAGTACTAAGAACAAAGCACCATGAACCTTACTGAGAAGACATGTTCTCACTACAGCAGCATGTACAATCTAGGAAGAAGGGGACTGAAACATTCCAAAGTGTGCAGAGATGGTGGGCCACCCCCTGATGATGGACTGTGACAATCTTACATTCCACAGGATGGCTGACAACTTCCTGAGACCTTAGCTCCACCATCAGTGTTTCTAGGACCCTATAAATAGACCGTATCAAAGGGCTATTATCTACCTGAATACTCCAGGGCCACTTTTCTATTTTGGCAGGGTCTGCCCTCAGGAGAAGCTGAGCATCCCCTCACAATCTGAACACACTTCCATTTTTTCCATTCCACTGAAAGGAGCTAGGACAGTAAGACATCAGAGTCCTTAGTGACATGGAGGAAGGAACTGAGACCATCTATGTGAAACAATACGCCTTTAAATAAAAGGTCTTCCCAGTAAGTAACCCAGTTACTCATCCTCAGCTCAGGGAGTTGCATGATGAATCACTGAATAAAGGCAGGAGGAGGCAGGAAGTAAGAACACAAATTCAAACAGAAATCTTAAAAAAAAATCTCCATTATCTGTATTCTAAAATCAGAAGAGGAAAATCACCCATACTAACTGGCTAATCTAACCCTCAGGAACTACACCCTCTGGGGAAACAGATTTGGGTATTTACGAGCTGGGTATTAATTAGAGGACCTCGGCTGGCTGGTACGGAAAGATTAGCAATCACTAGCCATGCGGTCTCGGCTAATCCCCCACCTGAGGCACAGGAGCTGTTACAGCCTGGCGGGGCTATGTGGGCAGGAATCCCCAGGAAATCTGAAGGATCACTTCCTGACAGCTTCGTGTGCTGAGTATCAGCACCTGGCCTGCTTTGATGATGGGTTTTACCCTAATCAGACCGCCCAGAAATGAAAGGGATGAGGGAGCCAGCTGAGTTTCAGGGAGATGTCCGAGAAGCAGCCAGGAGGATTAGAGCGGAAAGGTGTTCTTGTTACCTGTCAAATCCCCGTACGCGCTGACACGGATGGGAGGAAATGCCATCTGAGGCTGTGTACTTACACAGTTTACAGGCTGTAACTTCATCTTCTAACTTGCAGGAGGAATCACCCAAAACTAAAGGGGCAAAATCCAACTTCAAACTCAGAAGACCCCAGGAAGAAAAAGGCAGGAGGGTGCATTCATTTTGTCTGCAGACTCGGGCTCATGGAGAGAAATGACTGGACTTCCGAAGTGTAAACACACTTGCTAAAAAGGCAAACACACTTGAGAGTTCTAACGACCTTCATCAGGAAGGGTTTCTTCCTTCAGTAACTATTGTCATGCATTTTTTTTTCCCCTCTTAGCTCAGACACCAGCCCAAGGTGGATTTAACTGTGGCACTTTTCATGAGCAGTGTCAACTCAGGACACCTCAGTAAGCACAGCTCTCAGCCTCTCAGGTCTAATCCCAGGACAGCTATGGTTTTTTCATGGGTCCAAAAGCCCAGAAAATAACACTCTGAGATGACGATTTATGTTCAGGAAAAGAGAAGCAGGGTAGGACCTATTTCTTGATGGAGAGGAACAGGTCCATCTGAAAATGCTGGGGCTGGAAGCATTTTGGATTTTGGATTTTTTTTTTTTAATATTTACATTACAGAATACCGGTTGAGCATCCCAAATCCATAAATCTGAAATCCAAAATGTTCCAATGAGCATTTCCTTTGAGTACCACGTCAGTGCTCAGAAAGTTGAATTTTGGAGCATTCTGGATTTTGGATTTTTGGATTTGGGATGCTGAACCTGTATAAGAGCCAGTGATGTCCTGGTCTGAAAGGCTGAGAGAGAAGGGAAAAGGTCATTCACAAAGACCTTTAGGAGGATATGGAGGAGCTACATATATAAAAGCCATAGAATTTAAATGAATTGAAGGATTTTTAACAGAGAAGATGTGAAAACAGTAATAGAATAACACATTTTGTTTAAGGATGGTATGTCTTGTGGCAATTGGTCTAACATGAGAGTGTTAAGGGGAGGGTGGTTATAATTGGGAAGAATGTCCTGGAACATTCAGAATGCGCAATCCCTGGATTTAAGGAAAAGGTTACAAAAATCAAGTAACCAGTCGTTCATGTATTTCCAGAGTCATCTATTCTTTCATGTAGGCTTGATTCTTTTAATACTGGTAAATTTTCATAGGCATCTCACAATCACAAAGAGATGAATGTGGATCCTGGCTCCATCATTCAGAGCTCTATGACCTTGCTCGGGTTAGTGGCTTCTCAGAGCCTCAGCTTTCCATCAGTTAAAATCTCTACTCTTTAGATACTTTTCAAGATTAGGGTGCTTAACCCAGTCCTAACACACAGTAACTGCTCAAAAAACAGTAACTACCATTCACTCAGTGAACAATTACTGAGCACACATCAATGAAGAAGAACACCAGCCATGTCTTCCAGGAGAATTTGTAGGCAAGACGGACATGCGCACAACCAAATTAGACTAGCTATGGAAACTGTGGGCATGTTATTTGACCCCTCTGACTGCAAACCTATCATCCACAGAATGCATATAGTAAGAGTGTGTGTGCCTGACATGGTTGTGGTAAGGAGCCAACGAGTTAATACGCATCAGGTGCTCAAAATAGGACATGGTGCACAGTCAATGATGGCGATGATGATGATGATGATGATGACATAATGGTTAGCTTTATATGTTAACCTAGCTAGGTCACGGTACCCAGACATTTGGTCAAATACCAGTCTAGTCATTTCTTTGAAGGCATTTTTTAGATGAGATTGACATCAAAATCAGTAGGCTTTGAGTAAAGCAGATTACTCTGCATAATGTGGGTGGGCCTCACCCAGTTAGTTGGAGGCTTTAAGAGAAAAAGACTGAGGTCCTCAGGGAAGAGGGAATTCTGCCGATCAGACAGCCTTTGGACAAGACTGCAACATCAACTCTTCCCTGGGTGTCCAGCCTGCTGGCCATCCCTGCAGATATGTGACTTGCTAGTCCCCACAATTATGTGAACCAATTCCTTAATATGAGTCTTAGTGTCTTTCTCTCGCTCTCCATATATATAATATACACTTGTTAGAGACAGAGATTCCATAGCCTTTATACATGCAGCTCTTCTGTATACACCTATAGAATTACCTTTTTCCTGTCTCTCTCAGCCTTTCAAACCAGGTCATCACTCGCTCTTACGTGGCTTGAGCATTCCAAATCCGAAAATCTGAAATGCTCCAAAATGTGACAGTTTTTGAGTGCCAACATGACACTCCAAGGAAGCACTGCTGCTCGCTCTCTCTCCTTCGGTCTGACATACCCTATTCATCTAATACAAATGTTATTTTATTATTTTATGACAAAGAAAGGAAGTGTGTATCACAAACAAGATTTCTGCTTGATTGACTTTTTCTGCGTGGCCCTGGAAGGACAATTCTGTTTCATCTTGGTTCCATAACTACGCTGGTAGAATGCCAAGAGAAGTTGCTTAATGCATACCTGGTCATTTGTTTTTTATTAGAAAATAAATACAAATGTTTAATTAAGATAAACTTGAGTAACATCCAACCTTCCTGATGACACCATGGGGCAAAGGTCTTTCCACTTAACTCCGTTAATCACATAAACATAACGAAGTTGTTTCATCCAGGAGAGAAAAGGGCTCCGGTGAATCTCCGTCTTTACTCTGTTAAAGAATACCTAAGCTCCTCTCCTAGAGAACAGCTCATTTCAGTTTAGATTGACACTGTATTTAAGGAACACTTAAATATTTGCAACAAATTGAAATGAATCACCCCAGATGAAAAATCCAACTTCCATACTGCAGCTTTAGAAAAGCTATGATATACTGAAATAGAAACCACCAGTTGTCTTACTCTGAACTCCGCACGGGAATGTACACGGCGATTTGTTAAAACTAAGCTTCCTGAAGCATCTGATATTCTTTTTCTGCTGGATTAGTGAAACACTTTAAATGTAAAAAATGCAATCTGTATTTCTCTCATTATCTGTTTATAGCACTAATAAGAACCACTCTGCTCTACTGTCAGTTTTCTGCTGGTATAATTCTAAAGTTTTAAGAGTGCGCAAAAGCTTTATATTTAAGTCTTGCTCTCAATGATGGGTGTATAGTTCTGGGGGGGGGGCCTATATAGCTTTAGGTGATAGTTAGATGTGTTATGCCATATTGATTTAAAAGCTAATTTTGGGGAAACAAAATTCCTCGATAAATACTAAGATCTTAGATTTTTCAGTAACTTCCACTCCCGAATGCATATGTCTAATGTGGCAAATGCCTCATTCTATAATCTGATGTCAGGACACCCGATGCTCCAGGGTTTCTAGACACGTCTGTGTGTGAGTGTGCACAGGGTCTATGTATGCTGGTACACTTAATCTGCTAGACGGGCTTTCTTCTGGGATTATAAAGTATTTTACACGAATTAAGCCATGAGAATAAAACTTCTGTGAAATGGAGAGAATATTCCAGTTCTCCATATTATCCTCACCGTGTCAGAGGCGTGTGAACCAGAGCAACTCCCTCTTGCATAGGAGCTGGGTAAAATGAGACTGAAATCTACTGGACTGCATTCCCAGATCGTTAGGCATTCTAAGTCACAGGATGAGACAGGAGGTCCCACAAGATACAGGTCACAAAGACCTTGCTGATAAAACAGGCCGCAGTAAAGAAGTCGGCCAAATCCCACCAAAATCAAGATGGTGACGAGAGTGACCTCTGGTCGTCCTCACTGCTACACTCCCATCATCGCCATCACAGTTTACAAAGGCCATGGCGACGTCAGGAAGTTACCCTATATGGTCTAAAAAGGGGAGGCATGAATAATCGACCCCTTGTTTAGCATATCATCAAGCAATAACCATAAAAATGGGCAACCAGCAGTCCTTGGGGCTGCTCTGTTGATGGAGCAGCCATTCTTTTATCCCTTTACTTTCTTAATAAACTTGCCTTAGCCTTGCACTTGCGGACTCACCCTAAATTCTTTCTTGCATGAGATCCAAGAACCCTCCCTTGAGGTCTGATCAGGACCCCTTTCCTGTAACAACAGTGTCATAAACCAAAACCAGAACTAGAACCGGGAGGCGATTCCAGCTTGTGATTCTTTCTGTGTGTCACATCCCCACCTGTCTTTGTTTCGTGGCCACCCGCTCCCGGCTCCCATCTTTCTGGTGCAGCACTCTGGGACCACTGGAGAGGAAATCCGAAAAGGCTGGGAGAGGCTAAAGACGCTGCAGTAGAGCAGCACTCCCAGGCAGCAGAGGCTGCGCTTCCGAAGCCCTGAGCAGGGAACGTGAGCGCTTGCTGAGGGCACACCAGGAACAACTAAGCCCTGCCAAGAAGGAAGTTCTGTCTCCAGGCCACAGACGGTGACCACAGGGGAGTTTCTCTGGCAAACAGTCAGAGAAAAAAGAAAACAACGATCTCAGCACCACTCTGAACTCAAAGGACAGCGAGGATTCTTCAGAAGATTGGGCAGCTCTCTCTGCTACGAGAGGTTTCACCTGAAAGAAAAACTGAAGTCTCATGGGCAGTTTAATGATGTACCGTGCTACTGTTATTTACTGCACTTATTAGAGCAGCCTAGCACACCATGTGAAGTAAACCTACTAGAGTTTTACATGACCCTAAGTATATATGGTGGCAGAGTCCACCAACTGCATAGCACGATGATCCATTCTTCCATTCTTCATGACTAACAACCCCTGAATTTTGTTGGATGAGGCAACGTACCCAGCTTAAAAACTACATTTCATAACTTCCACTGTGACTACACATGTCACTGAATTCTGTTCAATGAGATCAAAGAAGCTCTATCTGGGGGCTTCTGATAAAGCTTCCTAAGTGGGAACTTAGTTAAACTTCTCTTCTGTCCTCCTTCTTCTTCCTCCTTCCTATCAGGAGTAGAGACATGATGGCGGGAGCCACAGTATCTTGTGATAGTGAAGCAATTTTGAGAATAGAAGTTGCACACTAAGGATGACATGACAACGAACAAGAAGGAATCTGGGGTGCTGATGACATTACGGAGCCTCTGCTCCACCCCTGCAGCGCCTACCTCTGTACTTTATGGTATATGAAAGAAAACACAAATACCATGTTGTTAAAACCACTGACTTTCAGGTCATTCACAGACAACTGCAAATCCTAACTGAACGAATGTACACTGAACACACAGATACAACATATATATAAGGGTAAGCAGCCTGTTGAGATCCACCAATCCATCATTGAAAGATTATCTTCCAGGCAGCTGCAGTCATCCCTTTCTCGAGTGAATCATTCTGCACTTACTGAGTGCCTACTTATGAGCAAGTGTTGAAGATAAGAAGATGGATGAGACACAGCTCACGCCCTCAAGCAAATGACGATCTGTGGGAGGACACACTCGGGAAGGAGTGGTACCTGTTGTATGAACAGTAAGATACATGCATTGCATCCATTTAACAGATGTCTGCTGCACACCTACTAAGTTCTAGGCACTCTCCAAGGGTTATGATCACAAGTCTATACACTAGATGGCATGGGGCAAGTTGGAGGGTAGAAAAGAAAAATAATAAAGAAGAAAATGAAGGAATAAGACAACTTCAGAAAATAAGGATGATGTGCTAGTGAGTGACTGCTGGGAGCTATTTTAGACACGGTGACCAGAAAAAGCCTCTCCTTAAAAGTAATATTTAAGCTAAGATTATGAATTAAGTTGGGGGGCTGGGGCAGGAGGTCACGGCACAGGGAATGGCCTGTGAAGGGCTTGGGAAAGAAGATTTTTGGCAGAAGGAAGATCAAGTAGAAAGGTCCTGAGGCAGGAATAGCTCAGATAGAATGTTAGAGGTGCTCATGGCTCAGAGAGGAGCTTTGATTGTGGGGAAAGGGAGAAGTCAAGGAAAGTTGCTCAAGTTGCCCTTGACTGCAACTAAGTCTTCCTCCTCTCTAGAGCCAGGACAGTTCCCATCAGAGAAGGAGCAAAGCTGCCTGAACCCCCTCTCTCCACCCACCCGGCCTCACAGCTGGCTCAGCGACACTGTTATCTGTGCCTTAATCCCAATATATTTTCCTTCCCTGAAGAGCAATATGAATGCCTTCTCCCTCCAAGTATAAGACTTGGCTGTGGGAGGCCGAGACGGGCAGATCACGAGGTCAGGAGATCAAGACCATCCTGGCTAACATGGTGAAACCCCGTCTCTACTAAAAAATACAAAAAAAAAAAAAAAAAAAAAAACCAAAAAAAAAACTAGCCGGGCGAGTTGGCGGGCGCCGGTAGTCCCAGCTACTCGGGAGGCTGAGGTAGGAGAATGGCGTAAACCCGGGAGGCGGGGCTTGCAGTGAGCTGAGATCCAGCCACTGCACTCCAGCCTGGGCGACAGAGCGAGACTCTGTCTCAAAAAAAAAAAAAAAAAAAAAAAGACTTGGGCTGGTGGGGGCAGGGGGAGGGGGGCTGGGAGAAGAAACCCCTCCTTCTCCTTCTGCATTAGAGAAAACCATTTTTCAGCAGCACTACCACTTCAAAAGCAGTTGTCCTGAATAAGACCCAGGCTGCTCTCAGATCAGTGGCCATACAAAAGCTTGCTAAAACACTATTCCTGTTCGAGGTTTGCCTAGTACCACAGTTCAAAAGGATCAAACCCATTATCATGGGTCATAGTCCAGGCCAGTGCAAAAGAGCAACAGCCCCCAGGATCTAAAGCTGCAGAGAGCACCAGGCAGGATAAAATGCAACCCGCCCGCTTACTGCAAAACCCTAAGCTGGTCCCGTGTGAGGGTCCATGAACACGCAGGACCATGCTGGACAGCGTCTGCAGTCCTGAGTACCCTCCAACAGCTTCATGACAAATACCAAAAAGATGATGACATCCCTAATCCTTTGATTCAGTTACTATTATTTACCCATCAGGAAAAGCACTAGGATTACACTAGCCACAGAACCAACTTTAGAAAACTTCAGGGGTGATACATCTGATTTTCAGTGAATGGTGGGGTTATTACACAGACAGTGATTCTTTGATCAGTAAAAGAAAATATGACACTGCCTTGTTCCCAAACCCTAGCTCTTTTCCTCTGAAAACTATGACTTTATCAAGTGAATGAGTTTTTTCCCCTGTTTTAACAAAGACTCTTCTTTCCTTTCAGAGATTCACTGCACTAAATAAATTGTCAGATTATTACCTGTTGATCTATTTCTAGTGAATTCTACTTGGTTAAAAAAGTAGAATCGTAATTTCTCACTGATTTTCTATTAAACCTCCACTCAATGTTTTTGGTCTCCCATCTAACAATGGACCTGATGAGTTTAGTGGAGTCTTCCGGTAATTTCCTTCTTGTATTGTATGTTTCTCTCAGGTGAATATTTCAGTGAAAACTGAGACTAGTTGATAATCTTTCCCACTGAAGTCTGTATTCCAATTTTTTTTTAAATTTGATACAGGGTTTTGCCCAGGCTGGATCACAGTAACACTACCAAGGCTCACTGCAGCCTCAACCTCCTGGGCTCAAGTAATCCTCCTACCTCAGCCTCCCAAGCAGCTGGGACTACAGGCATACACCACCAAGCCCAGCTAATGATTTTATGTTTTTGTAGAGAAAGGGTCTCCTTAAATTACCCAGGCTGATCTTGAACTCCTGGGCTCAAACCATCCTCCCGCCTCTGCCTCCCAAAGTGCTGGGATTACAGGCATGAGGCACTGCGTCCAGCTCCACTATTTTTCTCTGGTTGTTCATCTGGATCCGACCGAGTATGGCCTATCCACCTCACCCACTTCTGTCTTCCATAAGCTCTGTTTAATGTCAGATAACAGGTATTGACTTTTTGTTCTATCTGCTAAAATTGGGGTTGGAGTTGAGTGTCTTGGGTTGGAGCTGATTATATTCTTTCCAGGTTGTCACACTGTGAATGTTTTTCACTCTAAAATTATAGCTATTTAAATACATTATCTGCTCACCTACAAAAACTCTCCCTTCTTCGGAAACACAGAGGTTGGTCAATGCTTCCCATTCCACTGAATTCACACACTCTGCTGGGAATCCAGTGATGAATGGAGAATGGGGAGGGTCAGCCTCTCCTTCTATGCAGGTCAAGATGTTTATTTTTAAAGAAGAGTCAACCTGTTCTACTACTTTTTGTTTTTTTAAATCCTTAGCACTCACACACTACGAACCATGCACTCACGTGCTACGAACCATGCCTGGGGAAGGCACAGGAAGGTTAAGACAAGGCATCGGGTGACAGAGCTGCCGGGGGCTCGCCTCTAGCCAGAGTGACATATAGTCAAGGGTCCACAGGACCTAGGTCCAGAAAGAGTTTTCTTTTACCAGCAAAACATAATAATCAAAATCTAAACTATATATTGTCTTATACTTGAGAGAAAAGATATGAACCATAAGAAGCTATTTACTGGATTTTTTAAAAAAAACAGACTTAGAGAAAATGCAGTCATAAGGACTTCACGTGAGTCTTTGAGTGGAATTCATCCATGTAAGAACTCCCCACTCGTTGGACACCTATGCACGTAGGCGCTGCTAGTGCTAGAGTAACAAACGCACGACCTGCACCCTGCTCTTGGGGAGACCTGGCCC